GGGGGGATGTATGGGGGTATCGGGGCCGGGTATGGGGTTGTTGGAGGGGTTACAAGGGGTTAAAAAAAATAGGAATTTGCAGGGTGCCGACGACCCGACCGACCGGTAGGTGCCGACCAGCCGACTGGTCGGCTGGTCGGCAGGCGACCAGTCAAGGGCCGCCGACCGTTGGGGTATGCAACACTGACGCGCTGCCCACATAAACCATTTTCATTTTTATCATCCGCCTTTTAACTCCCCTTTTGCTGTGCCTCTCACGTACAAGGCTCGCTTCGTTGATGAAGTTGACGGCAAGCTGCCCACATCCCCGTGTGCCATAGCGGCCCACTTGTAATCAGTGAGAAAGAGGCAGAGTAAAGGGGGAGGGGAGGGGAGGGGAGGGGAGGGAAGGGGAGGGGATAACGCAGAGAAGAGATAGAGACGGGACAAAGCAAAGGGAGATGAATGAAAAGAAGGGAGAGTACGGAGAGTGGAATGAAGATGAAAGCAAAAGCAATCATAAGAAAAGGCTCAAGAATCATTGTCCTTGACGGCAAAGAGGACGTGCAATGTACGGACGAGGTGGATGGGCGCATCGAAGACCAACACGGCTGAGCATTCTCAGTACAACAATTGCCACGACCGCTGGCATTGCACATGCCCACCATCCACTCCCAGCAAATGGCATGTCGATTGCGGCCCAATACGAAAGAAAAACGGGCAGCGCAAAAGACCATGCATTCAGTATAACGCCCATGGCCGCAACATCGACACATAGCGTCCAGATGCAGAGGGTGCCTGCAGTGAGGAACGGAGGGGCAGTCCTCTACAGTGTCTACACACATGGATGCAGAAACCATGTCATTGTAGTGATTATGACAGAGACGATCGTGGCTACAGCTGAGAGCGTAACAGTGTTTGGAGTCGTGCAAAGAAGGAGAAGGTCGCACAGTCTTGGTACACTGTCCTGCTGCAGCACCGTGCTACAGACTGGTATATACTTCGATTAAGAATTGTTTCATTGCATCTCCTTCTCCAAGGCATGTAAAGCACACAGATTCCCAAAAAAAAAAAAAAAAAAAAAAAAAAAAGCACACAGACAAACAAAGTTTACCATGTGACCAAACAGAGTCAGTCTCATTTTGAATTAATAACACACAGAGTCACAGACTACAATTTTTTTGAAGTCACTGCACTGGATTCTATCTCAGAGCATCATGTAAAGCATGTAGATACCTCCTTGATAAGGTCTGCAGCAGTTACAGGATGTCTCAATGTTGTTGATTCCCCAGTGTGTCTCCTGAGCACCTGTTCTCAAAATGAAGTAAGAGAAGAAGAAAAAGAGCAGGAAGATGATGTCAGAGATAATGAACAATACGTACGTGCACCTGCCAATCAAGCAATCAACCAATCAATCAGTGTACCTGAATCAACCGAAAAACCAATCAATCAAACTGGGTGACACACACACACACACACACACACACACACACACACACACACACACACACACCTGTCTCTTATACACATCTAGAAAAAAGAGTCCAGAATCCATTATGCATTATCGTGTTATCATCGTGTGAGACTGTCAGGGGGCATTGATTACTTCCCTGCACAAGGGAAGGATTATCCTCCTGCAAGCTAATCCCTAAACAGCCCACCGCCAACCCACGGGGTGATCAGCACCCCATTGATGATTGATGTTGCGGGCCGGGCAACACCAATCAACACCGACTATCCTACTCCTATCCTCTGCCAAACAACG